GTGTTGAGCTCCTCACATACCTCTTGATCGTTCCTTGTGAGTTCTCCACCTTCTTTCCTCAGCCTTATCACCTGGTCCTTGACTGTTGTCTTCCTCCTAATGTGGCTATACAGCAGTTTCGGGTCAGATTTGACTTTCGATGCTATGTCGTTTTCATACTGTTGCTGGGCCTCCCTCCTTATCTGTGCATACTCGTTTCTGGCTCTTCTACTAATCTCCTTGTTTTCCTGGGTCCTATGCCTCCTGTACCTTTTCCATTCTCTGTTGCACTTAGTTTTTGCCTCCCTACACCTTCGGGTAAACCAAGGACTCGTTTTGGTCTTCCTATTATTTCTGTTTCCCTTGGGAACAAAACTTTCCTCTGCCTCCTTGCACTTTGTTGCCACATATTCCATCATCTCGTTTACTGATTTTCCTACCATTTCTCTGTCCCACTGAACCTCCTGCAGGAAGTTTCTCATACCTGTGTAGTCCCCCCTTTATAGTTTGGCCTGTCCCCTTCAGTTCCTGTTACCTTCTCCACTTGTAACTCTACTATATAATCAAAACTCAGAACCACGTGATCGCTAGCTCCAAGGGGCCTCTCGTAAGTGATGTCCGCAATGTCTGAACTGCTCAGGGTGAACACAAGATCCAGTCTTGCTGGCTCATCCTCCCCTCTCTCTCTGGTTGTGTCCCTGACATGTTGATGCATGAGGTTTTCAAGTACCACATCCATCATCTTGGCTCTCCATGTTTCGGGACCCCCATGTGGCTCCAGGTTCTCCCAGTCGATTTCCCTGTGGTTGAAATCGCCCATTACCAGTAACTTTGCTCTGCTCGAGTGAGCTCTTCTTGCCACCTCAGCCAGTGTGTCCACCATCACGAGTGTCTTGCGTGTTTTGTAAACACGAGTGTCTTGCGTGTTTTGTAAACACAAGTGTCTTGCGTGTTTTGTAAACACGAGTATCTTGCGTGTTTTGTAAACACGAGTCTTGTGTGGTTTGTAAACACGAGAGTCTTGCGTGTTTCGGAAACACTAGTAACGTAAAGTAAACTTCCCATTTTGAGTAGGTAACTTGTTTTAATTGTACAAAAAAAAAAAAACACAATATGTGACAAACACGGGGACACTGACACACGGGGTCCCAGGACAGGCTCGGTCCCATCCCTTATGCTTCTCAGCTTTTTATTTTACTTACATTCGTTGAAAATTTTATTTTTCATATATCACCCAATTACCTGTCAACAAAATATTCTGTGAGTTGCACTGGGCGAGTTATGCTCAGCGAGTTGCACTGGATGAGTTATGCTCAGCGAGTTGCACTGGGTGAGTTATGCTCAGCGAGTTTCACTGGGTGAGTTATGCTCAGCGAGTTGCACTGGGTGTTATGCTCAGCGAGTTTCACTGGGCGAGTTATGCTCAGCGAGTTGCACTGGGTATTATGCTCAGCGAGTTGCACTGGGTGAGTTACGCTCAGCGAGTTGCACTGGATGAGTTATGCTCAGCGAGTTGCACTGGGTGAGTTACGCTCGGCGAGTTGCACTGGGTGAGTTACGCTCAGCGAGTTGCACTGGGTGAGTTATGCTCAGCATAACTTTCCAATCTCCTCTCCCACATACAGTAAAGTGTTTCTTAACGCCTGTGTTCCATCTTGTTTACCTTCCACCTATAACTGTGGATGTACTGACAAACTGAATGATGGGGGGGGGGGGTTGAAACGAATTATCCTAACTGAATGTGACAAAACGGTGTGAATGTTACAACAGCATGATGCGTGTGTATTGGTAGTATAATAAAAATGTATCTGAGGAAGATGATCTTTGAAAATAAGCTTTGTTAGGAGAAGAGATTTTAGTACTCCTTCTTAGGAAATTAGAAAGTACATGTATATGATTCTGGGAATTGGAACTAGTATATGCACTTTGATCTGAGGTCTGAGATGTGGTCTTAATACATCAAACAGATGAAAAGTTTGCTCCAAGGAATTGGAATAGACTGGCAATGGATGGAGAGGCTCTGGTCTAAGGAACTGGAGCTAGATGGTCTTTGATCTGTTAAGTTTATTTAACCACAGGTACACAAGTACAATTATCATACATAGTGTAAATTACCGAGGATAACCCAAGAAAGTCTGACTTATTTCCAGTGGGGCTCTCTCCCTAGTAGCCTCACTTGAGGGGGCAGAGTCTGTATACTCCCCATCTAGTTGAGATATTTTTGGTTGGATAAGAAAACATATAATCCAAGGTAGTGGCGCTAACTGGTTTTTCATCTGAGAAAGTAGCAATCTCATTTAGGGGGAGACAAGAGGAAGTCTCCCTCATTGAGATTACTAACAACGGTTACTGTCTACTAGGAAAAAAGTTAGATTTTATGTATTTAAACTGACATGAAGAAATACTAATAATATTGAAATTACTACGCAATAAATAAATGTAGATTGCAACATTTTCACACAAGGTATTGATAGGCATTGAAAAACAGTTTTAAAATAACTGTAATGAAAACGAGAATGAGGAGAGAGTGGAAGGGTTGTAGTGGAGATAGTGTTGGAGCGAGAGAGAAGTGAGGGATATGTAGATGGGTGGATGAATGGGGAAGGGCAGCGGAGAGGCGTTGAGCAACCAGGTGTGGGTCAGGTGGGGTGGGGCGGCTAGGGTGCTGCCAAAGTCGCTTTACCAAAATACGTCGCTGAGATATATTTCCCCTACTGGATTATAGCCATCACAACCTGGTTTATCTGGTATATTCTGCAGGAAATGGTCATGTTTCCTCTTAAAAATTTTCTACCCTTTTTCCAGCAACATTTATCGTATCCGCTAGTAACATAATGAAGTCTTGAAAACGAATGTTGATAGTGTTCTTTAAATGAATGTATGCCCACTCCTTTCATTTTGCCTTGTTTTTCACAGGTTTATTCTACGCTTCCTCCCACATCTCTCACTCAAATAGCAGGAACATACCAAACGCTACTCGTGAGGACCGAGTGTTGCATTACCAGCAGCTGCAAGTACTCTCCCATCATACAGCTGGCTTTACAGGGAGGTCAAGGGCAGGGGACAACACACCACTAATCATCTTACCTGTGGAAAAAAAATGTTCTTGGTGAACATACAGCGACCAGTTTTATTCCAACAGCGATATATACACCAGCTTCATACTCATATTACACATGCAGGTATACATAGTACCAGCGTCATATGTATGTTTTTTTTTTATCAACTTCACTGGACAGTTACCAAGTCACTCACGTCCAAGTTATCTTCACATATACTGCTTATCTCATACCTTATGGAAAATTACTGATTTATTTATTTATTTATTTAATAATTTGAACATACATACAGAGGTACAAAAAAAAAATACAGGTAAGAGCAGCATGCCAAAGCCACTTGTATGCATAGCATACATTAGCATAATTTTCTCCCCAATACAATTCAATTATTAAGGGCAAAAGAGGTCTTGGTCTCCCAAATGCTAAAACTACTCTTCCTAGCACCCCTATTTCCCTTTCCACACTCTCTTCTTTTCCCTGTCCTTGTCTGTCTCTCGGCCTTCTCTTTCTAACCCTTACTTACCCTCCCTGTCCTCCTCCTTACTCCCTGTCTCTTCTCTCTCCCTCACTTTCCCTCTTCCTCTCTCATCACTTCCACTTACCTTCCCTTTGCACACTCCTGGCTCTGCAGTGTCTAAAATTATATAAAACCTCATAAAATTTATTAACGCCTAAAAGCTAGTAAAACATTCTAAACTTTTGTAGTATAAATTAGAACCCATAAAACTAAGGTTCACCAACTTAAAGCCACTTGTAATTAGTAAACAAATCTTTAAAAATTTACTTTATATACAGTGAGAATTTCTCTACTGAAAATTCCTTGTCAAAGCATTCACGTCTTATTCTTAGCAACTGCTATGATACGGCTGGAAAACATTAGGACGTGTTTCCACTAAGACACCTGCTGTCCATGTTCACCGATCAGTATAAAATGGGTACCTGGGTGTTAGACGACTGGTGTGGAAAATTTTGGATTTTCCTAAATTCAGCATGTGTAAATCTGAATAATACAATAATTGTGTAATAAAATGTGATGCTGATTTGACCCTTTCGAGAAATTTCGAGCGAGGGAGGTGTAGAAGAGCTGCTGAGTGACGCCGGAGGAAGACGTCATGTTGAATTTAATGTGTGAATGCTGGACTGAATTGTGCAATGTAATCAGGCGTTCTCAAAGGTCAATTGGCGTATATCAGCCTTAATCCGTAATTTAGAAATTGCTGACACGTTCCTGCTGAAGAATTGGGATAGTGTGGAAAGCCCTAACAATTCGGAAACCAGAATGGAAAAATATAGGAGTTCAATGACTCCTTCCCAACAACACACCATAGCTAAGTGATGCTTACCCATAATGTACAGTAGTTTTAACGTTGACCATCGTAAATCCTAGCAAGTAGGGTAATGTTAGGGCATGTTCCATCAGCACTGTCTTCCAGTAATTGAGTAAGCGTTAATACCAATTTCTTTTGTGTACCCAGCAAGCCTAATCATATACAGTCCACATTATTTTATAATTTACCTTTATTGGTATTAACGTTTAAAAGTATAATTATTAATTTAATGTCAGGTCTAGCTTTTTGTAAGTGGTAGGGAATGGGCATCGAGGGAGTTGCAGTAAGGCGACTTGCTGTAACTCAAGTCCCATTTACCTCACCCAAATTACTTTCAGGTAAGGTCCTGTAAGCCTCCTGCAGGTGATATGCTCACATAATAATAATGATAATTCATAACTGGTGTGGGTCGCATCTTGAGACAAAATTGACCTAATTTGCCCGAAATGCTCTGCATAACAAGTGGTTTTTCTATACAGTAATGTGTCACTGATGTTAGCTATGCCTGTATACCTTGTACTTGCAGAAATAAAGATATATTATTATATTATTTTGCTTGATATTCAATGACTGAATGATACTGATGTTTATCAGTGGTGCATGAAAGCTGAGTTTTACATATATGTACATAGCTCAACTTATAGTTTTGTTAAGACTCACCTGTGTTAATGAAGTGTTGTGTTGCATCCAGCCGCGCCTGAAGATGGAGAGCGAGCCAGGTAAGCAGGGAGAGGCCAGTGAGTGCTAACAATAACAGTGCAGAGCGAAGAGCCTCGCCTGGACTGGCTATCCACGAGTGCCACCCATCACTACCCACACTCATACACCCACACCAACGACCCACTTCTTCGTCTGCTTGACTAGGGGACACACGCAAAAGATCACGTTCCCGTCTGATAAAAACATAATACAATTGTTAACACACAGAATTCGTACAATTTAGAATTTTAACCCAGAAACATATTTCAGAGAAATTTTCTTCTTAATAAATGCCACTTAACCCTTTCGCTGTTCAGACCCCTGCTCACAAACTTGCTCTCAGTGTCGAAGAATTAAAAAAATATATATATATATTTTCTCTTATGAAATGATGAGAAATTTTTCCCGATGATAATGACACCAAAATGATAAAATTTGATGTAAAACATTATAATCATTATTTTCGGCCATTCCATTGTTCCAGTTAACCAAACTCATAGCTATTTCGCTAGAACTCCATTTGTCCTATTGATGGAGTACACAAAACCGCCCATTTACCGATTTCAACTACCCAATTAAGTGATCAGAAATTGGTCATTTGGCCAATTTCATACACAATTCACGGAAAATTTCAAAATAGGGTCCAGAATTAACAATAAAAACATTCCTAGCTTGCTTTCCATTTTTAATTTTTATTCACACAAAATATAAGATTTACTGTTATGCAGACTACCGCATTTTTGTAAAAATGGCATAAATAATATCAGCACATTTGTGGAAGCATATCAGACCCATCAGTTGACGTATTTTGGTGCATGATGTGACAAAAATCAAACATTTCCGCTACTTTGAGCTCAATTTCAAGGTACTTTTAGTCCGAAAACCAGTCAACATCATCTCTATTTCTGTAACATATCTTCCATTCTATCAAATGAGGCCAAGAAAACGAGAATACAACCATAAATACCATACAAAAATACACCGCAAAGTTTATGTTTTAAACCAAAAACACAGTCGGAGTGTTATTTTGCTCATTACGCACTGCGTGCTGCAGGATTTTTTTTTTATACTGCACACACTGGCCACTCAGACCCATTCTCTCATATGTAGGCCTACCAGTTTTCTCCCGCAAGATTGGAAGCCACTAGAATTTTGGCGTAATATTACGGGACCAACACTGGCTTGAAAGCCGTAATATTACAGGACTGACAGAGAAAGGGTTAGACACACACAGATTATATGAGGGCAAATTTCCTTCATACACTATTAAAAGCATAAGTGTTAATGTAAGACAAAATGTAGATTTTTAGGAAACAAAGCATCATCAAACAAATATAAGACACTGGGCACAATTACTTGTTGGATCAGCAAAGTTAAGTAACGTTGGGATTAGCTAGCACTTGGATGGATGACCATCTGGAAACACCAAACGTTGCTGGTAATCCCTTTATATTTTATAGGTGATCTTGACTCAATGGTAACACTTTCAGTTTACAACCTGAGATATTATCTTTTCAAATTTCATCTAATGACAGTAATATAAATTATTTAAATATCATAGTTGTAGGAAAAGAGCTAGGTTCATAATGTCACATCTTCCATAACTAATGTTAAAAATATTTTTCAAGTTTTCAGAGACTATACTTAAATTCTTCTTGGAACCCATTTTAATACTTAATAATAATAATAATAATATCTTCATTTCTACAAGTACATGTACAAGGTATACAGGCCAACCTCACATCAATGACATACTGTACTACTACAGTGGAACCTCTGGTCACAACCATAATTCATTCCAAAACTGGTAGCGGCCTGATTTTGTCATGACCCAAACCTAATTTCCCCACTGGATTGTATGTAAATACAATTAATCTGTTCCAGACCCCTAAGAACTGTAAGTAAACATTGTTTTTTTAAGATTTTTAAGCACAAAAATAGTTAATTATACCATAGAATGACAGTGTAATATTAAACTAAATGTAAAAACCTTGAATAACACTGAGAAAACCTTGAACAACAGAGAAAACTAACATTGCATAAGTCCGTTATAGACCCCTTACGGACCGTTCGCTGTAAACAGTTTTTTTTTTTTTAGAGTTTTAAGCACAGAAAAAATAAACGTTTAAAAAATCCTTAATTATACAAAATAATGCACAGTTTAATAGAGAAAAAAACTTAAATAACAAAGGAAAAAACATACCATAAACAACCAAGAAAACAAAATGAATTCAAAAATAGTACACGAAATACAACAAAAGGAGTTCACAGCAAATGAACACACATCTGAATGAGATCGACTACAAGGCGAGGGTCTTTGTTAGGTGTACACAAACAACAGGAAGTGGGGAAAATTGGCACGTGCAAAAAAAATGGCGCAGAATGTGAAAATTGACACGGCTGTGTTTGTTCAGCACCTGATTAAGTGTTTGTGACCAGATGCAAAAATTGGGCAAATTTTTTGGTCATTAAATCTGTTCGTGTTTGGAAGCATTCGCAACCAAAGGTTCCACTGTATATAGAAAGCCTCTTGTTATACAGAGCATTTCAGGCAAATTAAGTCAGTTTTGTCCCAGGATGCAACCCACCAGATGATTAACACCCAGATACCCATTTTATAATGATGGGTGAACATGGACAGCAGGTGTCTCATGGAAACACATCCTAATGGTATCCAGTATAATAATAATAATAATATACTTCATTAGCACTTCACCTCCCTTTAAAACCCTCTACTCCTGTTATACACTCTACCCTCCAAAATTTCGATCAAGCGATTAAACCTTCAGCCACCCTACCCCTGCAGTGCTGTATCATCTTTGTTTTATGCTTACTATGGTAAAATAATAATACATAATAAAATATAAAGCCGGAAAAGATAGGTGTTTACAATAAAGCTAAGGTACAGGAGTGACCCCCCTTTTGTGTTTTACTTTTCAGCATTTCACTAAACAGCATTTTTAATTTTACCCTTGTTCATTTTTGTCATACTTCCCACAATAGAATTATTCACCACTCACTGAAGTAAGGATGAACATATTTTAAAGGGAAGTAATATTTGGCTGTTTCACTTTTTTTGGCCCGGCTATATTGCTCACCAACTGTTTACACTATCTAAAATATCAGGCTTTTATTCGCACTTAAAAATTAAAAAAAGGGTACGATTCACTTTACAGAATTTTATCTTACAATAGTTTTCTCGAAACCTAACCTGCTGTATAAGAGGGGGGGGCCTCATGTATTCTTAACTTCATTTCAAAAAATAAAAAATAGAAGTTCTAAGGTTTTACTTCAATTTTTTATTCTTTGTAACCTTCCCCTTTTTTGACCCCTGCTGGAAAAATTTCAAAGAAGAATGACAAGGTTTAACCTAAATAACGGAAAATTTTCCTATAAGATATGAGGATACTGAAATTTTCACTCTGGAAAGATGTAAAATTTGGGGAGGGGGATGTGATTAAAAAGTAAAATGGCAAAAGGCATAAAAAAGGTGATAAAAAAAACCAAAAGAAAGTTCTAAAGACAGGACCCCTAGCAAGGCTCAAGCTGGGGAAAAATTTAGATTTAGAAAAAAAAAGGATATACGGGGCTGTTGGTCGCTGTTCAGACCTCCATTTTCAATATGAATATTCCTTCCCAACTATTTTGCTGAACCACATAACTTCACAAAACCCTTGAACAATGATGGTATGAGTAGCTTCGTTGGTAGTGTACTCAGCTCACACATTGAGTGTCTGTGGTTTGATCCCAGGTATGGGTGGAAATACTGGGCATGCTTCCTTACACTGGCTATCCCTGTTCACTTAGTAGTGAGTAGGTACCTGGGTGTTAGCTGACTGGTGTGGGTCACATCCTGGAGGACAAGATTAACATAGTTGATGGTGGCCTGTTGCTCAATTGCTGGTGCACTTAGCTCACACACTGAGGTCTGGAGTTTGAATCTCCTCAAGTACAGCTGGAAAACATTAGGAACGTGTATCTATACGCCACCTGCTGTCCCTGTCCATGTTCACCCATCAGTAAAATGGGTACCTTGGAATTAGTCGACTGGTGTAGGTCTCATCCTGGGACAAAACTGACCTAATTTTCCCGAAATGCTCTGCATAACAATGGGCTTTCTATATAGTAGTATGTCACTGATGTCAGATAGGCCTGCATACCATGTACATGTACTTGTAGTAAATAAAGATATTATTATTATTATAAAATGCTCTGCATAACCAGGAGCTTTCTATATAGTGACTGATGACAGCTAAGTCTTTTTAAGTTGTATCATGTACTTGTAGAAATAATAATAATTAATAATTAATTATTATTATTATTTCTACAAGTACATGATACAACTTAAAAAGACTTATTATTATTATTATAAGTTATATTTATTAATTCCTGTTTAGGTTTCTGGTCTTTTTATCATCTCTGTCATGGTTGGTAGACCATACTCTCCCGGCTTCACATCGAATACGTACGTCTCATTTATGGGTTCCTCATGGAGAAGTGCCCACTGCCACTCTGAGAATTGTCAGGTTCCAATTTTAGTTTGCCATATCCTAATAAACTGTCCTGTCTATCAGCAAGCACGCAGAATTTACCTCCAGCGTCTCACTGCTCTAACGTCCTTACTTTATCTGACCTCCTCACTGATAGCCCCTCCTTTGACACAGACTCCCTCTTTGATTTTTTGTCAGTAACAGCTTTATTACACCGACTTTGATTATACTTACCTTTAGCACTTCTCACTGCCCTTACTAACTCTGCCTCTGACGTACTCTTCATGCTCGGTAGTCTCTGATCAAGCATATTATAATAATAATATAATAATATCTTTATTTACTAAAAGTATATGTACATGGTATACAGGCCTAGCTGACAATGACATACTACTATACAGAAAGCCACTTGTTATGCAGAGCATTTCGGCCAAATTAGGTCTGTTTTGTCCCAGGATGCAACCTGGAGTTTACCTGGAGAGAGTTCCGGGGGTCAACGCCCCCTGCGGCCCGGTCTGTGACCAGGCCTCCTGGTGGATCAGAGCCTGATCAACCAGGCTGTTACTGCTGGCTGCACGCAAACCAACGTACGAGCCACAGCCCGGCTGGTCAGGAACCGACTTTAGGTGCTCGTCCAGTGCCATCTTGAAGACTGCCAGGGGTCTGTTGGTAATCCCCCTTATGTATGCTGGGAGGCAGTTGAACAGTCTCAGGCCCCTGACACTTATTGTATGGTCTCTTAACGTGCTAGTGACACCCCTGCTTTTCATTGGGGGGATGTTGCATCGTCTGCCAAGTCTTTTGCTTTCGTAGTGAGTGATTTTCGTGTGCAAGTTCGGTACTTGTCCCTCTAGGATTTTCCAGGTGTATATAATCATGTATCTTTCCCGCCTGCATTCCAGGGAATACAGGTTTAGGAACCTCAAGCGCTCCCAGTAATTGAGGTGTTTTATCTCCGTTATGCGCGCCGTGAAGGTTCTCTGTACATTTTCTAGGTCAGCAATTTCACCTGCCTTGAAAGGTGCTGTTAGTGTGCAGCAATATTCCAGCCTAGATAGAACAAGTGACCTGAAGAGTGTCATCATGAGCTTGGCCTCCCTAGTTTTGAAGGTTCTCATTATCCATCCTGTCATTTTTCTAGCAGATGTGAGATTCCCTAAGAAAACCAGCAGAGAAAGGTGAGACTCCTGTGAGTTCTGTCCCTCTCCTGAAGGTGCAGTGCTGCTAAGGCAAGGGCAGGGCCTGGCCCTCCCTTGAGGCCCCCTAACTGGACCAGTGCGGGCATGCAAGTGCCACACAACGAAAACTCATACCAGTCACCACAGCCTGGTGACTAAAGCTTTAGTACACCCTACCCTGCAACACTGTATGACCCTCGTGGGTGTACCAATTAGTTATGACTGTAATAACATTAATTACACTTTTAGCACGTCCTACCCTGCAGTGCTGTATGAATAGTGAATTTAGCGCTTAGCTATGATTGTGATGATGATAATGATGATAATGATGATAATAATAATAATAATAATAATAAACCATACCATGGGTGGGGTTTGAACCCGCGGTCAGTCTAAAAACTCCAGACCGTCACGTCAGCCACTGGTCTGGAGTTTTGATACTCTGACCGCGGGTTCACACCCCACCCTTGGTATGGTTTGTTTACAATCGTATCATTACGATTTCGTGAGTCAATAATAATAATTATAATAATACCTGCAGTACCGCATGACTCTACTGGGCTTAGAACTTAGTTATGACTGTAATAATAATAATATAGGTCTAGTAATAGTTGTAAATGAATAGAACAATCACAGATTGTGCCACTGAAGTGAGAACTTTAGGTAGCTTTAATTATAATCTTAACTAAGTGTTGTGGGTAGTTTTAAATATAGAGTGGATGGATATATGACTGAGTGCAATTGTGAGATGGACTTGCCTAGCATGTACCAGTAGGCCTACTGCAGTATTCCTTCATTCTTATATTCTGATTTCAGCCCAAATTTGATTTTTTTTTACCACCCTGTAACAAGAGGTTAAAAGCAAGTAAGTTAGTATGTAAGGGTGACCTATATACTCATCCATTAACATGATTAACTCTTACGAAACAAAAGCTTAACATGGATCAATAAACCTATATAATATACCTTTTTAACCGCTTCTTTCTCTGGGGTGGAGGGTTGTCTGGCATTGGAGCAAAATGTATGACTTCATTTTCAGAGTCTGAGCCGGACAAGTCCAGCAATTTGTACGTATCCATACTATTATTGTTTAAGCAAGACCCTGAGACCATTTTGAACACCTGACACATTACAATTTGCACACTACATGTCAGTTGCTGAGACTACATTATCAGCGTCCACCTGACACACAACATAGTTACTTTCCTTCTCAACAGATGGCAATGTTTGCCTGTAAACAAACCCTCAAGGGACCTTGTGTTTAAAGTCAGCTGATAATTGGTCATTTAAAATTCAAATTGTTATTATAATCAAGGGGGAAGCGCTAAATCTGTAGGATTATACAGCGCCTGTGGTGAGGGGATGATGAAAGGTATTCAGGCTTAATTCAGGGAACTGGAGAACAGATCCAGTTCCCTAGATCAAGAGCCCTTCACCAGCATCAAGGGAGCTTCCCTGAGGGGTTAAAATTCAAAAGATATGATTTTGTTCGCATTTTTAACTCTGATGGGAAAGCGGTAAACCCGTAGGATTATACAGCGCCTGTTCGGGGGGGGGGGATAATCCAAGAAAATCAGTGCGTCATATATTATCGAGGAAGAGGATTGTCTAATTTTCATTGGGGTCCTTAAGCATAAACTTGTATACTTGTGTCAGAAGCCTCTTCAAGGGGGGCTCCTTGGCGTGGTGAAGAGGCTCTTGGTCTGAGGAATTAGACCTGTCGGTCTTCTTCCTCAGACCGAACCTAATTACCCCCCCCCAATTTCCCCTCCCCTATCCCATCCTCCCCTTTTTCCTTTCCTCCTCCTCCTCCTCTCCCCACCCCTTCCTTTTGCCCTTCCTCTTTTTGGCCTTTGGGATTTCTCCCACAGGCGCGCTAGTTCCTAGGTAGGGGAAAGGATACCGGGGTCCATCCCATTCCGTTGAGGTTCTTGGCGGTGGCGTAGTTTGCCGTGGAATCTGGATCGCCTGGGGATATCCCGATCCCTCTCCGGTACCCCGGAGTAGCTTTGGGTGTCTTTCGGGCGACGGGTGTATCTCTGGAAGCCACCTTTCGGATTCCGGGGGTGGTGGCCGAAGGAGGTATGCTTTGTGGCGGATATCATGCCGCCCTCTCTTTTGTCCACCGAGGTAGCTCGGCAGATGTGAGGTTGCTATCCCGGATTGCTGGTTTTGTGGCATTAAGGGTAGGGTATGGCACGGGTTCCATGCTGCATCTGCGCTACTAGCGGTGCTGAGGTCCTCTTGGGCGCGGAAGGAGATTTCCGGCCCTTTCATTCCTCCTGGGAACTATTCCTCCCCGCTCCCCCCTTTTTTTTATTCTTTTTTTTTTATTATTTTCTTTTCTTCTTTATTTTTTTTTCTTAAAAACAAAAAGCAAAGGAGTAACCTAACCATGGAGAACCCAATCCATGAACCCACTACCCCTGGGCCCCTTCTTGATACCGCACCCCATTCTGACCCTGCCTTGTTTTTAGACCACTCTTCGGACACTCCTGATGCCCCTGTACCTCTTGCTGGTGCTGTTTCCTCACCCGCTTCAGGTACCGGGGCTTCAACTGACTCCTTCGATTTGTCTGAACTCCGCTCTCCTTTGACTATGCTTCCGGCTTCTCCCTCTAGGGTACGGCAATTTTTGAATAGCCCGCCCATTTCACGCCGGACCAACTCTGGTCCTACTAAACGCCAACGTCAATCTCCTGATGATGCTCCTTCGTTACCTTCCCATTCTACTCGGAAAAGACCGACACGTCATGCACTCCCTCTCCACGCTCAGTTTCGGACCACACAATGGACTAAATTCTTTACTTTAAGACCGACTTCTTCTACCTACCTTTCTGACCATAGTATTGGCAAAGCGCTCCTGCGTCATGTTGGTAGAGATATTTCATTTCATGCTCTCAAGAGCGGTACACGCATCGTCACTGTCCAGAATGCTACCCAAGCTCATGATCTTTCTCTCCTTTCGCATATAGATACTACTCCTATCACTATTGAAAAACATCTTTCTCTCAATTCTTGTAGTGGAACTGTCATTCTGCCCCATACCATAGTCCAACAGAATTTCCAGTCATGTGGCAATGACATTCTTGAACAGCTGGAACTCCAGGATCTCCCAATCTTCAAAGTAGACACTTATGTCCTTCCTGCCCGTGGGTGGAGACGTTACCCTTGCAATGTAGCTCGTTTAACTTTCGACAGCCGAGAACTCCCATCCTCTGTATATGTCGCGGGACATCGGTTACAAGTTTGAAAGGTGATACCTACACTGCAACAGTGTAGAAATTGCTGGCGTTTTGGTCACCCAGCGAAATATTGCAGATCTATGGCCGAATGCCCAGTCTGTGGTGCCGACGACCATTCTAATACATCTTGCAGTCAACCTCCATCTTGCCTTAATTGTAATGAAGCTCACCCTTTGTACTCCCGCCGTTGCCAGGTCTACTTAAATGAACGTGAAATCCGTTGCCTCAAAGAGGCAGAAGGTCTCCCTTATGCTATGGCAGTTACTCATCTCCGCCTCCAAGGGAGACTACCCCGTGTTTCTTATTCTCATGTTTCAAAACATCCCCCCACTTCTGGGGTCCCATCTTCTGCAGCCTCCTCTGTTGTTACCCCTCCCATAGCCACTCCAGCATCTAATCCTTTTGCTGTCCTTGGCTCTGACGTCCCGACTACAACTCAGTCTGTTCTCACATCTTCGCGTCCTTCCTCACAAGCCCCAGTATCGACAAGACCTCGTACGACACCTAATACCAATCGCTCCTCTACTTCTCAGAAGTCCAAAAGATCCACATTGCTCAAATCTTCTTTGCCCCTTCCTTCCCTTCTTCCACCTCCACACTTTACCTTTCCAGTCTCTGTGCCTAGTTCTTCCCCTCTCTCTGGCTCTATTACAAGTGTGGAGATTCACCCTCCTCCTCGTATTATGCCTTCCACCCCCGTCCCCTCCCAAGTTTCTCCCTCTTCTGCCACCTCCAGGTTTCTGCCTCTTCTGCCCCCCCCCCCACACTTCATCTCCAGTCCCTTACACTCTTTCCTCACCCTCTACTTTGGTACAGTCCATTACTGTCCCAATCTTTACTCACCCTCCCCCTTCTATCTCCAATATGGTCTCCCATACATCTTTGAATTCAGAAACACTTGAAGCCATTTCAGAATATATTGCAGAGACTAAACCTTCAATGGACATGATTCACTTCCTGTTCCTTCTCTTCCCTCTCCTCCATCTTCACAACCCCATTCGCTGCTTGAACGTCTTCCAATGCCACCACACGTTGACTTTTCTAACCCCTCTAGTCCGTAGGTGCTTTTCCCTACGGATTCCTGGTATTTTCTTCATCGCCAATCATGGCCTATTTACAGTGGAATATCCGCGGCCTCAGGGGTAATCGGGGTGAGCTTCAGATGTTGCTTTCCAGGTTTTCCCCTGTTGGTGCTTGCTTACAAGAACCAAAATTACACTCGGCTGTTTTCCAACCTATCTCAGGCTATAATTTATTGTATTCTTCGGATCCTTTCTCAGATGGGACCTTTAATGAAAGTGCCCTTCTTCTATGCAATGATATTCCATACTGTCAACTATTTGTCCATATTCCCTGGAACGCAGGAGGGAGAGATACATGATTATATACACCTGGAAAATCCTAGAGGGACTAGTACCGAACTTGCACACGAAAATCACTCACTACGAAAGCAAAAGACTTGGCAGACGATGCACCATCCCCTCAATGAAAAGCAGGGGTGTCACTAGCACGTTAAGAGACCATACAATAAGTGTCAGGGGCCCGAGACTGTTCAACTGCCTCCCAGCACACATAAGGGCGATTACCAACAGACCCCTGGCAGTCTTCAAGCTGGCACTGGACAAGCACCTAAAGTCAATTCCGGATCAGCCAGGCTGTGGCTCGTACGTTGGTTTGCGTGCAGCCAGCAGCAACAGCCTGGTTGATCAGGCTCTGATACACCAGGAGGCCTGGTCACAGACCGGGCCGCGGGGGCGTTGACCCCCGGAACTCTCTCCAGGTAAACTCCAGGTAAACCTCGCTGCATTACACTGCAGCCCGTATCCACTTGAATAAGTGGTTTACAATATGTTTTTTATATCTCTCTCCTTCTCGAGCATTTTCTATCCCAGACTTTACCTTTCTTGTTTCATCCTTACCACCACCACTTCTGTTACTTGGTGATTTTAACGCCCACCATTTCCTCTGGGGGGGAGGGGTCTCATTGTGACTCACGTGGCATCCAGTTGGAGGCTTTTCTCGCCTCTCACCCCCTCCATGTTTTAAATACAGGTACTCCCACCCATTTTAATCCTCGTACTCATACTCTCTCTTGCATCGATCTATCAGTCTGCTCTTCCTCCACTGCACTAGACTTCACCTGGTCTGTTCTACCGGACTTACACGACAGCGATCATTTTCCAATCATTCTTACTTCTCCTTCCTATTCACCACCTTTCCGTAGCCCTCGCTGGCAATTTGATCGGGCAAATTGGGGATTTTTTACTCGCAACTCACTGGCTTTTAGTGAGGTTTCCTTCTTCATCCTCCATTGATGAGCTCCTACACCTCTTCTAGACGTCAGTTTATACCGCAGCTTCTCATTCTATACCCCAAACCTCAGGCAAGCATTCTCAGAAGTGCATGCCTTGGTGGTCTCCTGCTTGTGCTCGTGCAGTACGTTTGAAACGTGCTGCAAAGGGGCAGGTACCGGTACAATAGAACCGCTGAGAGACTTCTTGATTTTAAGCAGAAGCGTGCGATCACTCGCCGTGTCATCCGTGAAGCTAAATGCACTTGCTGGCGAGATTATGTTTCCACCATCACCTCTGCTTCTTCTATGAGTGCAGTCTGGAAAAAAGTGAGGAAATTGAGTGGTAAATACTCTCCTGACCCGGCTCCTGTTCTACGGGTCGCTGGTGTTGATGTAGCAAACCCTCTCGACGTTGCCATTGAACTTGGCACACATCTGGTCCGTATTTCCCGGGGGCTCCATCTATGCCCCTCGTTTCTTTCCTCAAAGTCTGCCAGAGAGTTAGTACTGTTGGACTTTTCTTCTCTCAGAGAAGAACAGTATAATGTGCCTTTTACACTTCAAGAACTGGAGGAAACGCTCTCAGCTTGCCGATCATCGGCAGCTGGGCCTGATGACATTCATATTCGTATGTTACAACATTTACATCGGTCAGCCCTTGTAGTCCTCTTAAACCTCTTCAATCTTATTTGGGCACAAGGAGTTCTTCCCCAGCTGTGGAAATCTGCCATTGTTCTCCCTTTCCGCAAACCGGGTACTACAGGACATGATGCCTCCCACTATCATCCC